TTTGCGGTGCGGTTGCGACGCGGTTGCAGGGCGTTTGCGGAGCGGTAACACCACTCAAACTGCATTATAGGCGTTTGTGGGGCGTTATTAACGCTCGGCAAACGCCTAGCAACCGCCGCTAAACCGCGCATGCGGCGTTTGCGGAGCGTTTGCCGAGCGTTAAAAACGCTCCGCAAACACCGGACCAACGCTTGCCAAATGCTATAGGGGCGTTTGGCAAGCGTTGGCAAAACAGCCTAGTGTGAACGAGCCCTTAGTGTATGGACCCGTCGGATCCCTCCCACAGTTCTGCTCTCTGTATAGGTGATGTACAGCAAACTAATGATGTCACTGCTACTTTTACAAGGTTATAAATGGGATTGCCAAAGCATTTATTCTATTAAACTCCCAAAATCTTCTCTGTCCTTCACTTCAGCTAATCAAGCACAGGTGAACTGCACAGTGGAAGTGATGAAATGCTCCTTAGAGGAACCAACGCAGACATTGTCGGGGATCACGCAGTTGTAGCCATTAGCTTGTTTTAACCACTTGAATTCCAGGACATTTATAAACAGCCTAAGGATGGCAATTGGGTAAAAAGCCTTGAAACTCAGATCTATAGAAAGTGATACAACAGTTCCCTACTACAGTGCAGATCACCTTCTGCACTTGGCTTTATGAGAATAATTTGACAATTTTAGGTTCTAAAAGTTTCAATGTTTCATTAAGCGGAACAATGCAACCATTAGGCCCCTTTCACACCAAGGGTCCGATCCGGTGCGCCTGCTAGTTTTTCAGGTGGACCAGATTGGACCTTCCATTCACCCCTATTGATCGGCGGGTCTGTTTACACCCACCTCTACCTCCAATCTGATCAGATCCTCAAAAAAAAAAAAAAAAAAAAAAAAAAAAAGGATACAGCATTATCTTACAATGCTGTGAAAAAGTATTAGCCCTTTACTGATTTTTTGCATATTTGTCATACTTAAATGATTCAGATCAAACAAATTTTAATATTACACAACGATAACCTAAGAAAAAACAAAAATGCTATTTTAAATGACAATTTATGAAGGGAAAAAAGCTATCCAAACCTGCCTGGCCCTATGTGAAAAAGTAATTGTCCCCTAAACCTAATTGGTTGTGCCATCCTTGGCGGCAACAACTGCAGTCAAGCATTTGAGATAACTGGGAGTGAGTCTGTCACATTGCTGTGGAGGAATTTTGTCCCACTCTTTGCAGAATTGTTTCATTTCAGCCACATTGGAGGGTTTTCGAGCAGCCTGTTTTAGGTCATGCCACCACTTCTCAATTGGATTTAAGTCCAGACTTTGACTAGACCATTCCAAAACCTTAATTTTGTTTTTTTTTTGAGCCAGAGGTGGACTTGCTGGTGTGTTTCGGACCATTGCCCTGCTGCATAACCCAAGTGCGCTTCAGCTTTAGGGCACAAACTGATGGCTGGAAATTCTCCATCATGATTTTCTGATAGAGCACAGAATTCATGGTTCCATCAATTGTGGCAAGTCGTCCAGGTCCTGAAGCTGCAATGCAGCCCCAGACCATCACCACCATGTTTGACTGTTGGTATGATGTTCTTTTTATCAAATGCTGTGTTAGTTTTATGCCAGATGTAACGAGACGCACACCTTCCAAAAAAGTTCAACTTGGGATAATCAAGATGTTTTTGGCAAATGTAAGATGAGCCTTTTGGTCAGCAGTGACTTTCACCTTGGAACTCTCCCATGGATGCCATTTTTGCCCAGTCTCTTTCCTACTGTTGATTCATAAACATTGACCTTAACTGAGAAAAGTGAGGCCTGCACTTCTTTAAAGGTTGTTCTGAGTTCTTTTATGACCTCCTGGATGAGTCATCATTCTGCTATTGGAGTAATCTGGATAGGCCAGACACTCCTGGGAAGGTTCACCACTGTTTCAAGTTTCCTCCATATACAGATAATGGCTCTCATTGTGGGTCGCTGGAGTCATTAGAAATGGCTTTGTAACCCTTTCCAGGCTGATGCAAGTCAATAACTTTGTTTATCTTCTGTTTTTGAATTTCTTTAGATTGTGACAACATGTGGTTTTTTTTTCAGATCTTTTAGCGTGCTTCCCTTTGTCAGACAGTTTCTATGTAAGCGACTTCTTGATTCAACAGACCTGGTAGTAATCAGGTCTAGGTGTGGCAAATTAAATTTAACTCTGCTTTCCAAAAAATGTGGTTAATTACAGTTCATTCATGATGTAGCATGGGGGGGCCAGTTACTTTTTCCCATAGGGCTAGGCGGATTTGGACAGCTTGTTTCCCTTTAATAAATGAAATCATAATTTAAAAACTGAATTCTGTATTTACTCGGGTTATCTTTGTGTAATTTTAAACTTTCTTTGATGATCAGAATAATTTAAGTGTGACAAATATGCAAAAAGAAAAAAAAAATCAGGAAGGGGGCAAATACTTTTCGACTTTTGTGTATGTCAGAAGGTTATGGAAACCATTTCTTTTAGCCATCTGTGGATCCAGAACTGCTGGTGTATAGCACAGATACAGCCACCATTTTCCAGACTCAAAAGTACTATCTTGCATACAGCAATTTAATGCTTTTTAACCTGCTTCGGTGCAAGATATAGCTTTCCTAAGCTCTCTAGGGCTTGAGAGTCCAGGGAATAGTGGAACCATTAAAGGGTAACTCCACTTTCGTGATAAAAAAAATAGTAAAAATAAAAAACCTGTAAAAATAGTAGATAAAATACAGCATATACAATTGCATACAAGTCATATTGTAATTTATGTTAGAAAAAAAAATCACCTTTCCTTTTCAATCCATAGCTCTGTAATTTTCTGTAAAATGCAATGCAATATGGAAACCTGGAGGCGTTCTGTACACAGATGGTGAACAGAATGCCCCCCAGAAATGTAATTTCCTGCTTGTATGATTGGCTTACTGATTTTCCCAGAACTCTGCACTAAAATACAAGGCAGATTTTTGGTGAGATATTCCCAAAGGGAAATCATGTCTACATGGATGCAGACCCTGCCACTTTCCTCAGAGCCCTGTAAGTGCAGCAGCCGACTATTATAAAGCCACTGGCATTTATATTAACTTTGCACAAACACTTTTGCATGGACACAAACAGCTATTTCTTCAGAACAAAATGGTAGGAATCGGCAACAAAGGAATGTTTTTTTTTCTCAACAAAAGTGGAGTTACTCTTTAACCACTTGCCCTCCATAGGATTTACCCCCCTTCCTCACCAGGCCATTTTTTGCATTATGGCGCTGCATTACTTTAACTGACAATTGCACGGTAATAAAACGCTGCACCCAATGTACGTCCTTTGTTCCTCAAAAATAAGAGCTTTCTTTTGGTGGTATTTGATCGCCTGTGCGGTTTTTATTTTTTGTGTTATAATCAAAAAAAGAATTGAGAAAAAAAAAAAAACAATATTTTTGGTTTTTACTTTTGCTCTTAAACATGTCCAGTAAAAAAATAAAATTGTCATAAATGTAGGCCAAAATGTACTCTGCTACATGTTTCTACTAGAAAAAATTCCAATACGTGTAAATTAATTGGTTTGCATGAAAGTTATAGTGTTGGCGGTATGTCCATATTTCCCTGGACCTGTTTCTTTGGTTTTGTTGTTTCTTGTTCCTGGTTTTGTCCTTTGTTTGTTTTGCCATTTTTTTTTTCTGGGTTCTTTTTGTTTTGCTTTAGTTTATTTGCATTTTATGCCTTGGTGGTCCTTGTCTTGCATTTTGTTTTGTCATGGCAGCCTGCAGGGGTTGCTGGGTCTTTGAAGGCGGTGCTGGAGTGACAATTTTGGGGATTATGGGTTGGTCCCTTCGTAGGTATTGGTGTCCCTTCCCAATTATAAGGTTACGTTGGTAAGGTTGTAGTTAATGGGCTGTATCTGGGACTACGTAGCTGTAGTATTGTCCCCTAGGCAGTGTAGTAGCGGCTGGAGGCCTTTTCATTGGGTGCCAGATACAGCCAAGTTATTTAATGTGATTAGCAATGCCTTCGAAGACATTGGACCCGGTTCATTATTGTCAGTTAATACATTGACTGTGCTTTATGAAGTGTTATGTAATAGTTAGGTTAAATAAATGGCCGTGTTGACACCAAAAAAGGAGAGTTGTGTGGTTATTTCAGGTGGGAGAAGGTTGAGGGGGTGGTTGTTTTATTAGTTAGGTGGTAAGTATTAGACTTGATATTCTGCATGTCCCTCAGTCATGTAAAACCTTTATACCAAAGAAAAGAAAACTGCTGTAACTGATTATAAAGTTTAGCTGTAGTTTGTCTTCAATTTGTTATTGTATTTAAATCTGCTAATACATTTAACACTCCCATCCCCCCAGACAGACAATGCTGCTTTCTGCTGTGCCTCCTTTGCTCATTTGTCTAGAGTTGTATCTCATTAATACATGATTTGTGTTACTGGCCAGATCAGCAGGTGAAAACAGAGGGGAAAAGTCAAAGAAAAGAAAACTAATGATCTAATGATTGGTAAGCTGCAATATCAATATAACATTATATACATTTTTGGGTTTAACACCACTTTAAGGTTGCGGCGAGGCATTAAAAACAAAAAGCACAACAAAAAGCTTTGTACTGACTTAAAGCTAATTAACACATAAAAGTAAGCAATATGATGTCCGCCATACAGCCATTAACATAATGATCATTTTAACGGAGGAAAGAACCAGCTTTCACAACCTGGAAGCACTCAGTTTTGGAATATGATCATGTACATCAACAAAGTGAATCCATCCTATACATTTAGTGTATAAAGGCAGTCAAAACTTGCCAGCAACTACTTCCTCCACCCTAATGGGTTCGTTCACCATGGAGCCAAGTCATGACACTCAGACTTTGGGGACTCCTACAGGCAGTTTAAAAGCATAGTTCACCTTTACCAAAAAACTGCCAATGCAGATAAGGCTACTTTCACATTGATCTGCCGCAAAAACAGCAAAAACGCACAGGCATTCTTACCTCGCTGAGCAATTTTAACCACTCCTGCACTGCTCCCGTCTGACCGTTTATGTACATGGGCCAGATGGGAGCAGTGCAGGAGCGGGCTGCCGTTCATAAATGGTGCCCACATTCACAGCCTGTGCGCACTCCCCGGGAGTACGCGGCACCGTGATCCGGTGCCCTCTGTGTCCGGAACGCTGTACGGGACCGCTGTGTGAGGTCCCGATGATGTGATCACTGATTGGCCAATCAGTGATCACATGAACAGTAGTAACCAAGATGTCACTTCCTGATATCATTGCTTACTACTAGTGAAATCTGTGAATGATCACAGAGGTCACGTAATACAAAGCTATTCACAACAGCCTTGTACCATGTGACAAGCTGTGACCAATCACAGCTCTCAAAGTAGTTCTGCATGATTGCATTGATTGCATGGCTGCATGATTGCATTCAGAGAGAAGGAGAAATGATTGCTTTTACAGCCTTTATGGGTGTAAAAGCAATCAGTGTATTAAAAAATAAAAAAATAAATCTTCATCACCCCCCACAAGTAGTACAGTGTCACCATGGTGACACTGTACTGCTAGGGTGACAGTATGTTAAAAAAACAAAAAAAAACAAACTAAATAATATAAAAAAAATAAAATAAAGATGTAAAAAAAAAATTATAATTTTTGGTTTTAAACTAATTTGGGTTATTTTGTTTTTACTAAAAGTATAACTGAAGAAATTTTGGCCAAGATTTTTGCAGAAAGATTTATTTGCAAAATTTTATAAGAAAAACACTTTTCAAAATTTTTGGACTTTCATTTATATAGCAAGAAAAAAATAAAAATCCTAGTGGTGAATAAATACCACCAAAATAAAATCGGTCTCAAAAAAATTAATATGGGTACAGTGTTGCATGACTGCGCAATTGTCATTCAAAGTCTGAAACAACTGAAAGCAGAAAATTGGCCTGGGCAGGAAAGGGGTGAAGGTGTCTGGACTTGAAGTGGTTAAAGGACATGCGACTTAAAAACTGCACCAAAAACACTTCTCAGAGGCATTTTGAAGCGCTTTTCAAGCGTTTTTGAGGCGCTTTTCATTTATTTAACTCCCCAAACATGCCACAAGCAGGAGTTTTTACACATCACTGCAAGCGCAACGCCTCATTGTGAAAACATACATAGATATACATTCACATACATAGGGAAGCATTTTTCTTGAGCTTTTCAGGTGCTTTTTTTTAACCCAAAAAAGCTTCAAAAACTCCTCTGTGTGTAAGTAGCGTTAGGGGCGCCTGTAGGAGTAAGCTCTTCCTCGGATTCAAAACCCCTCACATGCGCTCTCTCCCCCTGATGAAGTAGCTCTGAGCTCAGTGTCTCTTTTGGTAAAGATGAACAAACACTTTAAGGCTCCATGCACACTAGTAAAAAAATTCAGCACCTAGAGGAGTTTAGAAGCCACCAATGTTGTCCCTATGTGTCCATGCACATTAGGTAGTCTAGAGGAGTTTAGGCTCAGCGTTTAGAGGCACAAAAGAAAAACCTTCTGTTTTGTGTTTTTGAGAGTATTTTATGGCAGAAAAAAAAGTAAATGCTAATACAAAAAAAATGCTCAAAATTAGCGTTTTTTCCTGCCAAAAGCACTGATTTTATCTAAGCTAGTGTGCATGGAGCCCAAAGGATTTTTTGGTCCTTTGCAGTGCGCTGCTGGATGGGGGTGGCGCTTCCCCTTTCTTCCTGGTTACGAGGGCGCGGAGACACGAGTTGTGTGCTATCCAGGTCACCAGAAGAGTCTGCAGGGTGGCGCTGAGGAGCAGGGAGGGAGGGACAGATGCAGGATGGGTCTGTACTGGTAATATCAGGAGTGTAGGAGAGGGGCTGCCCACATCTTCTTACAGCAGTGCTGGGCCATGTCCCCCCCTCAAAGGATTTTGAAGTAATTTGTGGTCACCTCTTGATACGTGCTCTTCAGCCATACTGTTAGTATTTGGAGAAATGTGTAACAGGTTTTATATATAGTGTGTGCTGTTCAGAATATGACACTAGACGGGATTCCTCTGTGTATACCTTTGTGATTCCACACTCACCATTATCTTTCTATGCAACACATTCTGTTACCTCATGTCACTGGGAATTCTCAGGAGTGACCACTACACAGCTGCTCCAATACGCTGCTATGAAGGGACCTGTGAAGGACTGAAAATTACCACACACCCCACAAAACGTATCACAGTCCTATGTGACTCCACCCCCTCTGCCTCACATACAGCACAGTCCTATGTGGCTCCACCCCCTCTGCCTCACATACAGCACAGTCCTATGTGACTCCACCCCCTCTGCCTCACATACAACACAAAGAACCAGCAAACACAAATGCTCCTGCGCTTGGGGATGGACTCGATGCAGACTACAACCACATTAAGAATGTCCTGGAACATGCACACCTTGCTGCCCTCAAATAGACCGGGGAAATCCAAATATACTGAATGAGGAAAGAACAAACAGAGGGCGCACAGGCCTAGTGCATTACTATACAAAATGTTTAATAAGAAATAAAGTAGGTGTTGTACTCACAAACGACAATAAAGTCAAGGCACATCATAAAGAACAGCTGGGTCAACACCGCGCTGAGTAACAGTCTGCAATAGGGAGTGTAGACCTCCACTAGGCTGACGCATTTCAAGGACTTGCCTCTTCCTCAGAGCACTCCCTCTGCCTCACATACGGCACAGTCCTATGTGACTTCACCCCCCTCTGCCTCCCATACAGCACAGTCCTATGTGACTCCAATTATTGGTGGAGTAGGGGTGTAGTTTTTTTTTTTTTTTTTTTAAGAGATGGGAGAGGTTTAGATTTTTTATAAAAAGAGAATGTTTCAAATCTCTAATCACTGATTATTTTATGGACCCTTAGAACAAAGGCTTGGCGTTTGCTACTCAATTTGACCTGAGGTATTCTCAGACTGGTGGCTTCCTCTCAGTGCTCAGAAAATCTCCCTTGGTGTATCCAATTACTACTGATCTTCATGTACATCAGGCGCTGCTATTGAACAGAGTGCTATCATCGACTGGCAATTTGCTGCCTCTTTTTTCATTTATTGCTTTATATATTTTTGTGTACACGGTTATGTTTTATCTGTATTTTGATTGCTAATTGGTTGTATATTTTTGATTCCACTGTAGGCATTGTTGCTCAGTATTTTCCACTTTCCTTGAAGAAGTGGGTTCAATCCCACGAAACGTGTTGGATCTTTAGATTGATTATCCAGTTTTGGATTCAATTTTATGGAAAAGCATTTTTGGTTTCTAGTGGAATTGCCACCCTTCTCAAACTGCACCCAATGGTCTATCATTTTGGTAGTCTATATGAATTTAGATATTTCCACTAATTACCACCAGTTTTCATATCTTTCATGTCTGTAATCGTTTTACCAGTTTGATGGTGATTAATTCTTTTGATGGTATAAATAGGGTTTTAGGACTCTTGCCTGTGACATTCGCACGTCCCGAGCCAGAGTCTTTGCCCACTATTATTTCTTTATATTTTTGTTGACTCATTATATATATGCCTACATTGGCGTTTGTCTTGCTTACAACTCTGTGTGGTTTGTTTATAATGTCATAACAAAATATGCTCTATTTTATCCAATATTGTTTATGATTATGCATCTTTATACCCATAATGGTATGGTACCTTAAAGCCCCATTATTTTCTCCTACTAGGGTTTATTTTCTTCATTGTTCCAATAGGGGTGTGGTACCTGTAAAACCTTCACAGGTGAGACCTAGCATCTCTCCAGCTCCCATCAATCTCCAATCTAATGCCCCCTTACATCACCTGACCCCATCAGATTGCCCCCTTACATCACCTGTCCCCATCAGAGTTCCCCCTCACATCAACGGTCCTGACCAGAGTGCCCCCTTACATCAACGGTCCTGATCAGAGTGCCCCCTTACATCACCTGTCCCCATCAGAGTGCCCCCTTTCACCAACTGTCCCCATCAGAGTGCCCCCTCACATCAACGGTCCCGATCAGAGTGGCCCCTTACATCAAGTGTCCCCATCAGAGTGGCCCCTTACATCAACTTTTCCCATCAGAGAGCCCCCTTACATCAACTTTTTCCATCAGAGTGGACCCTTACATCAACTTTCCCCATCAGCGAGCCCCTTAGATAAATTTTCCCCATCAAGTCTCATGAACTCTTGAAAATTTTTTTTTGGGGGGGGGGCACAACTAAAACCTGGGGGGGCATAGCCCACCCCAGCACCCCCCTAGATCTGGGCCTAGTTCACACAAGTTTACTTAACCATGCTCCAAGGCAAAGTTTGTGTTTGTCTACACAGGGATGCACAGGTGTTCCATGTATCCTCGTGCAGGCAGTTCTATTCATGTCAATTGCTACACAGCAGCTGCACAAACACAAGTTTGCTCCCAGTTTGACAGCTGTGTGGGTGCGGGACCTATACCCACACATGCCCATACCCACAGGTCTGTCAAATTTGGAGCAGTGGCTGTGTCCATGCAGCCACTGCGTCCCAATTGACATTGGAATGGAACTGTCAGCACGGGGATGCATTAACACCTGCGCATCCTTGTGTGGGCAAATACAGCCCTCCAACAGGCGTATTCTTACGTACAAAGCCTTATTGCATACAAACAGGTTTGAAAATGCCATTGTAAATGAGGCCTAAAATTGGTGTCTGTCACCCTCTATACTAGGCTACTGATCACCAGTTTTCCTTTTTGTCTGTAGCAGGTAAAGTGTAATTGAATGACAGCGAATAAACATTCTGCCCAATCAACACATCCAGGCCAATGCAGAATCAACTGCCTAACATACTTCTGGATCAATAAGGTGCAAGCTGTTTGTTCATCTCCTACACTGGCCATGAAAGGCAGCCAAGTATAGCACTAGGGACTGGGATATGGATTAAACATGTTCCCAATACCCAAAATGCACTACTCAAGGTAAGGATATTTTTATCACTACTGCCTTAACAATGTGGAGTCTCGCTGGGCTTTAATAATATGATGCCTGTAGGCAGCAGACAGATTGTGAACAGAGGCAGTTTCATCTGCTAAAAGACGACATAAATCAAGGCGAAGAAAGGAGAGGCTGCGGTAAGGTTATCGCCACATAGCCTTCTCCATGAAAGGTTTGCATTAAAGCATTAGTGAAATTAATTCATCTTTCATAAGAGCTTGGAGCAGCATCCGTGATCTATGATAACAACTGATTTCTCACTATGGCTAAGGAAAACATATATTTTTATATGACTCAACCCTGATAGACTACACAAATCTGCTTTTTTTAAGATGAGCTAACATTATCTCAAGTGCTGATCCCAAAGGCCTATTTCCTGGCTCATGTCTTGCCAAGCAGCCTCATAAATTCACATAGAGAGTTTTGTTCATTTTCCATGCTGTGGCTTGTAATTATTTTGAATAACATTATATCTCAATCAAAGTAATTACCCTAAGATAATCC